GCACTCAATAGATAGTTGTTGAATAAATGAACAGAAGTAGCTGCATATTTGCTAGTAATAAATGACATTCTTATTTTTGAAAATAAATTCTATTGAGATAACCATTGTATTTTTAGACCATTTCTTCTTGCACTCATCATCCTTCTCAATAACATAACATTTGTAAAACTTAGGTTAAATATGGGCTCTTCAACTTTCCATTACGGAAGATAAAGTGAAAAGGCTTGACCCAATGGTGTTATTCCTTTATCTCCATCTATCCTTTGGAAACTCATGACCAAATTGCTTGCCATTGCAATCTCAAAATCTACTCTATGGCATTAACTCACTTTACTTGTCCCTCTGTCCCTCTCTAGATGGTAGCAATCTGTCTCTGGAGCAGTGTAGAGTCAGAACAACTTCTATTTGGGGAAGAAATCATTGCTGGTGACCTTACTTTCAATTACCAACTTTCTAGTGACATTTGCATAATTTTAGAGAAAACGAACACCTGCACTTGTAAAGTTGTGGCTTTCCCACTCCCATTTATCATCTCTTAATATTCCTTGAAAAGGAAATTATCAATTTATCATTCTGTATTGGCAATAGAATGGTCCATTATATTTTTCACCTATACGACAGTGGAAGATGACATGCTGAAAGCTTTCTGAAAATGTTGGTCATTACTTTAAATGAAATTGAAATTCCAATTTATTATTTCCCATAATATGATCTTATTGGTAATAGGATAACATTTCAGAGATTTCTTCTCCTTCGAGGATCCAAACCCGTAAGTCCTCTGGACTCCCACAGATCCTGGCAGGGTGTCCCACTCATAAAAGCATAGGTACCCTCAGCGTCATGCAGGGACGAAGGAGCAACTCTCATTGGCTGCGTCCTGCATTCCCCATATAGTAAGGACTGGAGATCAGAGCTCAATTCTTCATTCTCAGACAGCTGTCAGAGGAGAGCCATGAATGTGCAGTGTCTAGCACATTACAAACGTTGGTTAATTGACTGATCATTCATGGTGTGACACTCCTATAACTCAGCTATTCTATTCAGTCAGAAATTAACTCAGTAATCAAAGTCATTAAAAGGAAGGAAAAAAAAAAAAAAAACCCTACAGCTCCAGCCAGACAGTAGGGAAATCAGACAGATGAAAGGAAAATGGCTGTAGGTCATTGAGTAAGACACTGGGCAGCAAAACCTGGGCCTTGTGCCTGGTTATATTCCAAAGCATAGCTCGAGCAAGGTTTGGCAGGCTTTCCAAAGTCCTGGTTTATTCTAACCTTTCTTGGGAGCAGGAGCAGTGTTGGTCAGATGGACAGACACATGAGAAATCTGTCCAAATGGCACCATATGAATTTGAGCTCTTGGTATACATGGATAAGTGGGAAAAAGAGGAGAGAGAGATGCAGGACTGACCCTACCATTTGTGAAGTCTTGGGCAAGAGTATCAATGAAAACTCACTTCTCTTCCCCTGCCGGACTCCACTGCACATAGTAAAGAGCCTCAAGCATGTGTCTGTGGACACTGCACCATGGATCCAAGCTGATCAACTGTCTCTTGAAACAGCTATTCCTCAGCCACCCTCTGACCCTGGGAGGACTAACCCAGGAGAAATGACCACATAGGTCTTGAATATGGGCTCAGGGCTATTTGCAAAGTTAATTCCAGGGTCCCAGGAGTATGAACTAAAATGTGAGTCAGGCACACGAGGCAGGCACATTCCATTGACTTCAAGGATTCCTCATGCTGTCGAAAGGGACCTCTCCAGAAGAGAGACAGAGCAGAACCCTCTAAATGTGGGGCCCAAAGCAGGAGCCCCTCTTGCTGGATTCAAAGGGTCATATTGGAAGTATGTAGGCTGAGTCTTCTTCTCACATCACTCATATCCCTTATGTACTTCCTTTCATAGCCTCAGCAGCCACGCTGCAAAGAGAAACTCTCTTCATGTGTGTCTTTTGGTTCATAAATCATAAATAATTATCCTTGATCCCATGTCTTTTTTAGAGCCATGGACAGAGAGAAGCAAAAATATCCCAAGTTCACACTGAGTTGCCTCCCTTCATATCTCTTAGCAGTCACTGAAAGGTTATGAGACTCAGGCTGGATTTCTAACCCCTGGCCCTGAAATGACAAAGTTGACCTCGCAGTCAACCCTAGAATGCAGAGCAAAATCACACTGTCCTCTCTACTCCTAGACAGCACACTTTGTTTTGGGGGCTCATGTGCTTGAAATATGAGCTATGGCAAAAGGCTTTGAGTCTTATGACACCCCAAGTAACTTTTACTTTAGGAATTTGAAATACAGCCTCGCTGTGATCCTGTCTCCTTAACAAAGTAGTACCTTTAAAATATTTAACGACTTGAAAAGGAAACTGAGCTTGAATTTTCCTTTCAGGTGCTCAGGAAATACTGTTTCACTTCTGTCTGAAATTCACCATCTCCTCAGACAAAGAAGGCTCTTATGGTAAAAGCAACGGCATTTTCTCCACAATTTTCAAATAAAAGATAAAGAGAAAACAGCACTGCAGCCTTTTTGTTAGGATCTAACAATAAAGCAATAATACGGTTTTGCCAGGGGAGAGCTCTGGTTTTAAGCTCAGAATACAAAAATAGGCTGACAAAATTGTACAAAGGAATATTCTCAGCTACCACTCTGAGGCTGGTAGAAAGTAAGGTTTCAAGAAAATTATATTGTTTGATTATCTGATGATGATTAAGCTGATGGGCCAGTCCTATGTGAAATTCTAAAGTAAAAGAAATGTGATGTCACCTTTTCTGCTCACCTCTCCCCTCCTTCCTACCCCGCAATCTCTACCTCTACCCCAAACCGAGCCTGAACTCTGGGAAAGGAATGGGTACTGCTACTTGCACCATAGCTCCTCCTGCCTGCAATGCTCTCCCCAGAGAGTCCAGCCTCCCTCTGCTCAGCTAACTTCCTACAGCTCCTTCTGGCTACTTCTAAGGAACCCTCCATAATGCTCCCCACCCTCTCAGTAACAGCCCCTCTACTCCCCCTAGATTACAGGCACTGTAACTGGTTAGCAATTGATTGTATGTCCTCTGCCCAATTATACACTGTGAGAGCAGAAACCATGTGTATTTTCTTTAATGTTTAAATCTCTACAACTATCCCCATGATTGCCACATACATCTAATTGAATAAATGAATGAATGAGTGAATTAATGAATAGAAACTCAAGCCATTATGTTGCCACTACTAGGATATTTGGATTAACTTTAATTGAAGAACAAAAAGCATTTACCTGTCCTAAAGGAGATGTAAACGTAGTGGGAGACTATTTGGAGAAAAAAAAAAAGACACTGTAACATGTTCTTTTGCGTTGCCTACCCTTATGTTTTCAGGGGTTCCTGATATGGGGTGGGATGAGAATTTGAAATAAAATTGCCTAATTTGTCATCATAAGTGGAGGAATCAGGAGTTGAAACCAAACTGGTTTGACCTAAATCAAGCTATTATAAGGACCTGCAAGAAAAAAGGAATCCATAAACACCATAGGAATAGCTACCAATTAGTAGCATTTATATGTGTCAATTACAATGCCAAATGCAAATCATGCTTCATCTGTATTAACCAACTTTTATAGATGAAGAAATTAAGACCTGAAGATTAAAATTGCCTAATTTTTACATAGTAAGTAAAGGAATCAGGGTTTGAACCCAAATTGGTTTCACCTAAGGCAGAAAACCATCCCAGCAAGTCTCCTATCACCTGGATTCCTATTGTAGTGGCTTGGGGTGTAACAGTAGCTATGGAAGCACTGTGGAGTCCTGGCCATCCAGTGTGCTCATGATCTGGTCCCTCCTATCACCTGCTTTTGCTCCCTGTGCTATCCACCCATCCAGAGGTCTCCTGTCGTCCATCTTCAGGGGAGCTACCAGAGTTTCCAGCTTCCAGTCAGTATGGAGTGCCCCTGTCCTACAACAATGTCATCCAAGTCACAGCTGCGTCTGTTAAGATCAGATTAGGCTACCAATGAGGGGGTGGGGCGGATGAATGAGCCTCGTCTTTGTACCAATAGATGAGGGGGGTCAAATAACAATAGTGTACTAAACAAAACAAATGTTTATTTCTCTCATACATAAAAAATCTAGAGGTTGAAGTCCAGGGCTGATTCAGTGGCTCCAGGGATCTGGGATTTAGACTCCTTCTTGCTTTTCCACAGCATATGGCTTCCATTTCTGGGGCCACATTGGTCCAAAATGTATGCTGGAGCTCCAGCCATTGTATCCATATTTCAGCCATAGGAAGGAGAAAGTGGGAAAGAAAGGACAGGCCCCTAGTACCTGTATAGCTCAAGAAGACTTTTCCACCCATACATCCCAACCAACCTCAGCTGAACAATGTCATCTTCATTCAAGACAGTCACATGTGTAGCTAAAATCTGAATTATGTTATAAACAAAGAGAATAGACATATGTGCCACCTCAACACCTCATCCATAGCTGCCTTTGCTCAGGTTTTTCTTTGTGCAGCTGTGCCAAAGTGAAAGCCTAAGGAGCCGTGGTAACCCTTCTGAAGGGAGGCCTGGGGCCTTTCACAAGAGGCCGCATGACTGGCATTTATCCTGCATGGCCTGTGAAGTACAGAGAAATATTTTCTCTTGAAGCTACATCATAGCAGTGGCTGCTTTGTAGCCTGATTCCACCATTATGCCTTTAAAGTGCCTAGCAATTCAGCCTTCACATCATGCAAAGAGGAATATCTCCCAGTCTTTGTAAGATCAGCTTGATTCTAACTACCTCCTTCCCTCCACTGAACTTCTGAGCACACACACAAATCTTCACTCAGAGCAGAGCCATAACCCAGGCACTATCACCTATAGATTGAAGAATCAGGCTCATGATTACAAATATGCACATATTTTTTTGTGTAAGAATGTAAATGGAGATGATGGTAAGAGATTTCCTTGGTTTACACATTTACCCTCTTCCCTGTATCTTACAATCAGGAAATATTTGTCACAACACGTCGTTTCTTCTGTTGCAGGCTCCTGCGGCTGTCTTGTCATGATACTGTTTGCCTCTGAGGTGAAAATCCACCATCTCTCAGAAAAAATTGCAAATTATAAAGAAGGGACTTATGTCTACAAAACGCAAAGTGAAAACTATGCCATCTCATTCTGGGTCATTTTCATTTGCTTTTTTGTTCATTTTCTGAATGGGCTCCTAATACGACTTGCTGGATTTCAATTCCCTTTTACAAAATCTAAAGACTCAGAAACAACTAACGTAGCTGCAGACCTAATGTACTGAAAGGCAAACCTTCCTATAATTTTACAAGTAAGGGAGTAGATTTGGTCACTTTTAGACATAGTTAATTTTGTACATATTATGTACAATTTAGTCTGCATACATTAAAGTATCAGGACCCTCTGTTACAATGTTTACAAATTATGTACTAATGATACAGGCTGGAAAGTAAGGGAAGCAGAAGGAAGGGTTTGAAAAGTTGTTTCACCTGGTGGGAAATTGCTTGACACAGGTAGTCAAAGGCGGTTGACTAGAATTGACAGATTGTTACTCCATATATATATATATATATATATATATACACACACACACACACATATATATATATACATATATGTGTGTATATATATGTATACGTATATATATATATATATATGTCAAAGTGCAAGATGCCTTTCCATCAAAAAGGAATCAAAAGGCACATAGAATGTATTTTAATAAAAGCAAATACTATTTCTGATATATCCACACATTTCTTGCCACAGATTTCAGAAAACTGAGCTGGAATCGCTTTCCTAAAATGGCAGTGTATTAAATGAACATCTATAAAATATATCAACACGTTTGTTTTTTAAAGTTTCCTTGAAGTATAGCCTTAGGCCAGGAGTGGTGATCACTCCTGTAAGTGATCCAGGAGTGGATCACACCTGTAATCCCAGCACTCTGGGAGACCAAGGTGGGAAGATCATTTGAGTTCAGGAGTTTGAGACCAGTCTGGGCAATATAGTGAGGCCTTGTCGCTAAAAACATTTAAAAATAAAATAAAATATAAAATATAGGTTTTAAAAAAGCATAGTCTTATTAACCATGTCTGTTGGTCAAAATTTACAAACTCTGAAAGAAAAAAAGCAGAAAGAACCAAGCTAAGGCTATTTTTCCTCCTGTGCCTGAGTCCCAGTTACATTCATGACAGTACTTTCAATGAACATAATTGTTGGGACCACTGAGGAATCACTGAAAAATGATCTCTACTAGTACACTTGATGAAAATGACTCATTGGGGGCTGTTTTTGTCTTTTTTTTTTCTAGCTATAGTGTCTCGAGTACTAATATACAATTGTGAAAATTATATTAAATCTGGGATTATGATGGTATCACTGTGTCATCTTGATCTTGGTCTGGCTGTCACAAAGCATGACCCAGGTCAATTTTTTTTCTCTGAATTACCCACCAAATTGATCTGCAGCTGACTAAAGGCCACAGCTGAGCCTGGAACCGGTTCCTTCATACTCAACCTGCCATCCTCTAGAAAGCACCAAGGAAAAAGCAGAGAATGACAGCAAACAGACCACCGGGCCTCTGGCCACAGGTGCTGGGTACTAAGCAACCCGCATATAATGAGTTTGAAAGTGCTCCTTAAAACACCTTTTCCCTTTTGGAACTATTTACAAGGAAGAAACAACTGTATACCCGAGAAATAACTTGCTCTGGGGTCAATTTGCTGTTCACAAGCAGACATCAGAACACACCCTGAGTTTCCAGATGCTGGTTTGTCCCCTTAACTCAGGAAATACACCTGGAGAATTTCTAGAAGACTACAATTCAGTCTAGCCACAAAGGAGATTTTTTTTTTGGTAACAGACTACAGCCCAGTTGTGTAAACCTTCAGCCGAAATGGTCTAGTACAGAAGCACTGGAAACGGAAAGTGGGAATGAGAGGACAAGGACCATATCCCTCGTGGGCAGCTGGCTGGAGGTCCCCAAGGCCAGGTATCCCCCTGCACACTCATATGATCCCTCTCTGTCTTCTTGGAGTTTTGAAAAACTCGTTCAAATGCCAGGCTTTTCTCTTTAGAAAACAAGTCTCCAATTGCTCTCTGTTATGTACAAAGAGAAAGAAAACCTGGAGTGGCTGCTGCAAAAACTAATGAGGACCTAAGAGGCAAACCCATCACGTTCCCTGGATGGGAAGGAGAAGCAGGGCTGTGACAGACACTCAAAAGGGCCCTGCAAAGCACACCACACACAAAATAAAGCAGGAAACAGCCTGGGCACCAGCAATGCACCAGAGTCTCCCTCTCTTCTTGCAGATGAAACGCATAGTCCCCAGGGCCTATGGGGAGTCCTTAGAAGAGGGTTCTGGCTAGGACACTCGATGGTGTCTCCTGCTTGGTGGGAATCAAAGGCCCTGGGAATGACATTCATTTTGCTGGGACCAGCCCTCCCTCTCCAGGTGGCAGCCAGGCTTCTCACAAGGTCACGGGGCCCCCTGCTGGCCCTGGGGAGGCGAACCTGTTTCATTGTCTCGGGTACCCTCATATCTGAGAACATCAGTGCTGATGATCTGCCAGATAGAATGGCAAGAACAATGTATGAACTCCACCCTGGGTCGCTCCAGGTGGACCCAGCCAAGGCAAGACATGTTAACCAGAATAGGAGCAAGCCTCAGAATAAAGCGAAAACAGGTGCAGATGGTGCATTAGAATGAAGAGGAGGGGCACTCCTATCTGGGTGCCTTACAGTTTCCAAAGGTCTTTTGGTCTTGTGGTCCCATCTGGTCCTCCAGGGAAGCTGCTTCATGTCACACTACAGGTATTCAGGGCCCCTCAATGTGGCCAGAGTCTCATACATTTATACAATCAAGGCAAGGGACAGTGGTATTCTTCTCTCCCTCAGTCCCTTTACTGGGTAAAAGGCTAGGAGACGGAGACCACGGCCCCTTCTTAACCCTGGTGGAGACAGAGGGTGCACACTGGCAGTGGTAGGGTGCATCAGCTCCAAGGTAAGCATGGCTTGCCGCTAGAATGGATATTTGTCCCAGCCATTTACCCAGACAAATCTGAATGGGAACCAAGGGGTAGACTCCAGAGGGTGGAAAGTGGGGCGGGGGTCGGGAGAGGATTAACCTCCCTCTCAGTTTTTCTCACCCTCTCCCCTTCCAATAAGATCTAGTGTAGTTAAAACAGTACAGCTGTTACAATAGAAATGCTGCTTCGAGACCAGTCCCAAGCCCGGCCCTGTTGCTCTAACCGCCTTGCTGCCCCTGGTCCCTTCTACTTAGATATCCTGGGCCTGTGCTAGTTTAGTGCTCAATGTCTGCTCAAGTGATGTGCCCATTCTCAAGTGCCTTCAGTGTGGCAGTTCGTCCCGACTTGGGGCTGATGGCTGATGGGCCACCTCCATCAGTGACAAGGGACACAGCAATGCTGGTCAGTTTAGAGAAAAGGGCAGAAAGAAAGACTGGGCAGGATTGAGGTCTCTGCTTCTGGGCCAAAATACTCCCTCGGGAAAAGCCCTCTTGCGCCTATAAATACTGATGTAAGCCTAATTAAAGTATATATATATATATTTTTTTTTAAGCCATGCATGAGCAATAAATTATATTTTGATTTACAGACTTACTGATAAATTCCCACTAAGGCAAGCAGACACACCCATGGGTGTCACAGCCCAGAGCTGGGATTTACTAGGCTATTTGCAAAGTCCAAAGACCCACGTCAGAAACCTCCAGAGCCTCCCCTGCCAGTCCTAATGGGCAGTATCAGGCAATGGTTGTAGAGATCCCAGGGTGGAGGTGAGGTGGGGGGCAGCTATGGTGCTGTCAAAAGGCAAGTGTCTTAGGAGATTGTTTCTTTGCTTGAATCTTGGTCTGAGGGATTCTGACCCACTCTGAAAGTAGTGGACAGAATGAGTTACAAGTAGGTGTGCCCCTCACTTAGCAAAAGTCCACTCTTTCCTCTGTCGGCCACGAACCCGACTGTGGAGAATTGAGACTTGGGAGTTCCTGCCAGCCCGTTCTCTCCCCTCTGGTATGGTTTGTAAGAGGGTGCATGGAGGAGGCGGCTTGGGCCGCTCAAGTAATTCCAGCCAGTGCCCTACCAGAAACGTGCAATTTCCGGGCACACCATCCTCCGCCCTGTTGTTGCACTCTCCTCAGGTTCCAATTTATCAGGAACTTTGCCTGTGCAAAAAAGCGTAGCATAGCTAATCCAGAGGTGTGGATTCCAGGATGCCATGGCTGACTGATCTGCACTTAAATTTGTCACCTTTCTATTTAGCCAAGTGTAGTGAATAGTGTGCCTTAATACAGGGAAGGCCGGTGTCTGCTGCACATCCCAGGCCGGAGGCCCCAGGAGAATCAGCTCTATAGACCTTCATTTGCTGCCATAGAGCTGCTCCCTTTGCCCTGCTCCTCTGCAGTCACCCTTTTCCCCATGGACATTCTGTGTGTGCTTCACCAGTTTCCTCTTCTGTGGTGTGCAGTTAAACAGCTAAAACTACATTTCCCAGCCTCCTTTGGAGTTGGGGCCAGGTGAGTGTGAATATACCAACGAGATGTTGTTGAAGTAACCTGTGCCACTTTCAGGCCTGGCCCTGAAAAACATATGCAAAGCTCTAGCTCTCTTCTCCTGGTGCTGCATGCAGCCTTGGAATCTGTGAGATCCAGATGGAAGGCTGCATAACAGGGGTGGGCTTCCTGCCCTGCACTAGAGTACAAGACTGGTAAATAAACTTTCTCTGTAAAGCTGCTGATTTTTGGTGATTGTTGCTGCAGCTTAGCCTAATTTAGCCTAGCCTAGCCAACAACACCCCATTCTCCAAGAAAGCTCTCTGCTGCCTGCCAGGGAGACGCTTCCCTATGGCTCCCAAGGCGTAGTCTATGCCAGGTGCACTGTCGTCATCTCGCACCGTCTCCACTTGCTCCTCTCTGTGCCTCTCTGTCCTTTGTGGCCCTCTGGTCACATTACCCATCACCCACTGAAATGAAGACCAGAGAGTGAACTGTCTACATCAGTATGTAAAGAGTAAACAAACACTTTTGTTCATGCTGCTGCCCTTCAAGATTCTTTCCAAATGTGGGTTAATAAATGTTTTTTCATTATTCAAAAAGGATTTATCTTGCATCTCCTACAGATGTAACTGTCTTTAAAGCAACGACTATTGGGATAGCTAATGTAAAAACAGTAAGAATACCTTTTTTCTTGATTTTTGGTTGAGAGCAGAGAAGAATATGCTCGAAGACTCTGTATCTTTAGTTTCTGTTTAAAACTTCAATATAGTATTAAGAAAAGACTTTTTAAGTTTGCCCATAACAGGAAAATCTGATGAAAATTTTTCAACACAGGAAATCATTTTTAAAAATAAAAATTATCCTGGAGTTTCGATTTTCACAAAATGCTGTAAGAATGCTGTTACTTAATTAAACAATACTTTTAAAAAAAAACTTTAAAAAAAAATGTATCAAGAAGAGCGGCTGGGAGATAGGAGGGAGGCTTCTATCACCATCCAGATCTGGGAGGGTTCCCTCTAGGAGGCGTGGCTGTTCCGTCCTCTCTAAGGAGCGGAGCATTCAGATGACGAGTTCTCCACAGTCCTGTGTCAGACCTGTGTTGAGACCCAGAGAAATGCTTCTCCTGTAGGTTGGTGGACAGGAGACCTGCTCCCGGCCGTCAACTTGGTCCTCTCCTGGGCAGAAATGAGGAGACAGTGGGCACTGACTCAGTTTCCCCAACATCCTCTAGTGCTGGAAAACGATGGTACTTGTTCTAGCAGAGATTCTACGTTTAATCTAGGAGTACCTCCTCTTAAACTTCTGCCCAACTTCAGTCCTTGGAGTTTTCCAGCTGGTTTGGAGACAAAGACAAACTAATCGTGCAAGAATGTCACTGTTTTACACCAAAACTAGTGGCTATTGAACTTAAGGATCAGTTTTTTCACTTGGATCCGGCATCACCCACTTCTCCACAAAGCTTATGAGCAGTTACCCGGACTAAGCAGAGATTTCTGGAGTGTAAGAAACAAGCACAGGGGAGGAGAGCATCCAAAACACCAGTGAAATATCCTTCTACCACACACAGTAACTCTCAGCGGGAAACTCCTTCTGACTTTTTCTAAGCCTTTAACACACTTCATACATGTTTCTACCCCACATAATATGCTTATGTCCTTTGAAAAATACGTAAATATACAAAAATGTAAAATGCACGCATGTCATATCAAGTACCTCTCTATCCTTTACCACAAAGGAAAGGCTTTCTATTTTACTTAATGTTTCAGTCAGGGAGCACTGAACATGAGAAAATACCCACCTAAACCATCTTAAGCAAAGTGCGAGAGAATGAGAATTACAAATCCAGTGGAAAGATACAGCAGCATCTCTCGTAGCACTAGGATACTAGGGGGAGTAAGTGGATTAAGGCCTCACGAAGGGGTAGATCGAAGAGCTGGAAAGTCAGTGGAAACAAATTTCCCTTCCCTCCCATTTCTCCCCTCACCACTGTGTTGGCATGGCAGGCATGCAGGGGGGTGTGTGTGTGTGTGTGTGTGTGTGTGTGTGTGTGTGTCACAGAAGAGGATGTGAGCTTGACAGATTCCCCAAAACTGTTCATCATGATTGGTTAAAAAAAAAAATGAAAAATGTGATTCTGTATCCTATACATTAATACAAAATAGGAATCTTTACATATAGTTTCTTGCCTTATAATGATGGACCAAATTGTCTTCCCAATTTCTTTATTTCTTTTTTTTATTTTTTGAGATGGAGTCTTACTCTGTAGCCCAGGTTGGAGTGCACTGACACCATCTCGGCTCACAGCCTCCACCTCCTGGTTTCCAGTTCAAGCAATTCTCCTGCCTCAGCCTCCCGAGTAGCTGGGATTACAGGCACTCACTACCATGCCCAGCTAATCTTTGTATCTTTAGCAGAGACAGGGTTTCACTATGTTAGCCAGGCTGGTCTTGAACTCCTGACCTCATGATCCACCTGCCTTGGCCTCCCAAAGTGCTGGAATTACAGGAATGAGCCACAGTACCCAGACTGTCTTCCCAATTTCTAACTCATTTTATTGCTTTCTAAAATCAAAGAAAGACATTTTCCATAGCATTTATTTTTTTTTATGTGCATCTCATTCTTCAATACATCACTTTAGTAGGACTTCCTTAAATTAAAACAAA